CGTATTCAATATAGACTTGGGTTTGATGCCCCCGAGTCTTAGTATAGATTACTCAGTATGCCAAAAACAGTTTCAGTGTTCACAATCAGTTCAAGAATACATGTCTCAGTCTAGTCCTATTCAGTATTCCAATATTATGTAACTCGGTGTGATGCAGTATTCCAGTATCATGTAACTCATTGTGATTTAGTATTTCACTATCATATATTGCAGTATGATTCTCAGTTCCTGATTTTAAATCCCTGAATGTTGAACACTTGTATTTGGGCCTGAGGCCGCAGTTTATGCTTTGCGCATCTTTGGGCCTAAGGCCGCAGTTTATGCTTTATGCATCTTTGGGCCTGAGGCCGCTGTTTATGCTTTATGAATCTTTGGGCCAAAGGCCGCAGTTTATGTTTTATGCATTTTGGACCTGAGGTCGCAGTTATGTATACATATACTTGGGCCCGAGGCCGCAGTTNCCGGGGCCAGCATCTCGCGATGCAGGTAATGATTTACAGGTTGATGATTCAGAGCGCTAGGATTCTCGTACCAGCTATTTGGTGATCCCCAATTCTTTCAGGGCATTGTCATTGCTACAGTCTTCAGTATTCACATACATTTAGTGTTTTCAGTACTCAAATAGAGGCTTCGTAGACTAGAGTAACAGTTAGACAGAGTCACAGGCTTTCATATTAAGCTATGTTGGTTACAAATATGTTTCAGAATTGTATTAGTATTTCCGCACTTTGATTTATATCATCCAGACTTTCTGTATATCAGCATGTGTTAGTTTATCTTCCAAATCCAATATGTTATGATACCACATGTTGATTCAGCTAGCCAGTTGGTTCGCTCGGTCACATGTAGTCAGGCACCGAGTGTCGTGTTACGTCCAGGCCCAGGTTCGGGGCGTGACATATAATACCCGCGACTAGGGGTGTACATAGTTTGGGTTGGTTCGGATTTTACAATTACCAAACTAAACCAATTGTGTCGGGTTATTAAATCTAAAGACCAAACCAAACCAATAAAACTCGGGTTTTTCAATCTCGGTTTTCTAGGGTTTTCGATTTTTTTGGGTTTTTTTCCGGTAAAATCTTCGTAGAACAAAATATATAACTTGAGCTCAAAATATTTCTTTAATCCTAGTAAGATTCATTTATATAAAGTATTTTCCAAAAAATAAATTACAAAATATGAGATGTCTCATGGCATTATCCTATAATTTTCAACAATAAAGACAATAAAATTACGTAATATAAATATTGCATTAAAAAGTTAGAATAAAAATAAACATAATCTAAAGGTACTAAGTCATGCTAAAATAAGTAGACGACTAATAAGGGAGTATTAATTACACGAATAAACGCTAAAGAAAAAAATAAAAATAGGTTATACATTTTTATCTAAATTATTGCAAAACAAAATATAGATATTTAATACATTCCTGTTCGTAGTATTGAATTGAATGTATTTTGTTAGCATTATTTAATTTACTAATATTAATGTCTATAAAGCTTAGAGCATGTTTGGATGGGTTTGTTGTAAGTGACTGTTAAGCCAAAAGCCATAAGTTAGGAATTCTAACTTTTGGCTTATTTTTGTCATTTTAGCTTAAAAATAAGTGCTTAAAATCATTTTTTTACTTTATCCAAACACTGTAAAATGGCTAAAAAGCTATTTTAGCTTAAAAATACTTAAAATAAGTCAATCCAAACGGGCTCTTTTGGAACATTCAAAAGTTGTAAGTCCAACCTTGAAAATAATACCTTAAAAGATTAAATTATAAAAAAAATTAAGAAATATTTATAAATTAAATCACAATAAGTATATTTATGTATTAAATATATCTAAAATTTCTATATATTTAATGTTGGTTTGGTTTGGTTTCGGTTTGACTTTCTTTAGTTAAAACCAGTTATGGTCGAGTTTTTTTTTGCAACACCAAACCATAGTCGGGGTTTTTTTTCCCGTTTGACTCGGATTATCGGGTTGGTTTCGTTTGTCGGTTTCCTCACCCCTACCCGCAACCTAAGAATCAGAAAAATTGATGAAGAAAGTAATAACAATAACCAGTAACAATGGCAAGGTACTAGGAAAGGAGCGGAAAATAGTATGAACACAACATAAATCCTTAGCAGTCTAAGACAATACACTATTAAACTAGCCTTACACGCAATATGTAATAGAAAAACATGTAACTACCTCCCAACTTTCAACCCTAATGCTCGGCCTCCACTCCTTCTTAACAAGGGCCATGTCCTCAGTTTTACAATTAAATATCAATAATATTTTTATGGATTTATTAATAAATATATAGGATCTTGAGCGCAAAAGCTATTGGGTTCACTTGAAATTGTAAATTTGAAGCTAGATCCACCTCTAAATTTAATCGTAGCCTCAGCCCATTCACCATCTTAACTATAAGTTATATTGGCCAATATAAAAGGTTTTGTTGGACTAACGTTTACATAAATGCTGGTCGGATTTACTGTTTATTTTTCTTATCCAGTATATATTGATTATATATGAATTATACACAATTATGCATATATTATATATGCATTATATACATACTATAGATCTCCGACTATTTTTATTTTAATCGATTGAGTGGACGGCTATTTCTATGAATTCTTCTTAATTTTTACCCATCTCAATTTTTTCAACAAAAGGTCCTTTCGGGGACATCCGATAAAGTTCTTCAACTGATCAAGTCAATAAATGTTTTCACGTATTTCTTAAAGAAATGTTAATTGATTTTTATTTGTAATTCTTCTCTTGGCAAATTACAAGTATGCCAGACCACCATGAATATGAATAGGACGAAAGTGAATAGGCCGAAATTAAATTATCACATAAATTAAGTAATAGGATTAACCAAGTTGAACAAGACTTGATCTCGAGTTTCACCATCTTGAACCCCAAATCCATCTCCAAATTGGTACATGACATGTGTCATCCGTGCTTCATTTACTACATGTTTGACGAGTTTTTGTTGTGATGTAGAAAGAGTATTAAAATGGTAATTGATCTTTTTCCACGAATCCAAAATTATGCTTTCGATATGCTCTCGGGCTACATCCTCTGAAACATTTTCTTGTTGCATGTAACATAAAATTGATGAAGCAACATCACCTCTCTCTAGCTCCGACTACATGAAAAAAATATTATGAAAATTAAGAACTAGCCAAATGGGGAAATTATTAGAATGGAAAGCACATTAAAAGAGAGAGGTAAAAGCTTGAGGTTTTACCGCTGAGGTACCCTGATCATTGCAAAGTCGAATTACAACCGAAGTGTGGTAAATAATTTCACGGCAATCTTCGTATAAATGAAGGGTTTCTTTCGTTATTTTATTTGTTACACCAAAAATCACATGAAAGGAAAGCAAAGGGCCGGAAGATGAGATCCACCCATTATTAAGGTACTCTTCAAGTGTTGGTATATGGCCTTTGTGGTACCACGTTGCTTCCAACAGCAAGGCTTTGCAAAAGTTGACCCACTGAATTATTGAAACAATATCAGATGACATTCGTAAACATGCATGGAAATTAAAGAGACGTAAAAGATGTAATGAACAAAGGTTAGACAAAAATAAAAGAAAAGACGTGGCTACATGGTGCGTTTCGCTTTCAATTACAGCTTCACTTATTCGGATTTGATTTTAAGTTCTTTTCCCGTCATAGAAAAAAATAGATGATTAATAATTAGTATTCCCTCCGTTCCAAGTTAGTTGTCATGTTTCGCTTCTCAAATGTTAATCAAAGTTCACATATTTTTGGCTTTAGCGAATCATGACAACTAATTCGGGTCGGAAATGGTATATACGTAATTAAGTGACATGATAATACATCTAGTATGAAGGCATGCAGTAACCTAGAGCCCATACATATATATATTGGAACCAAGTTGCTTTAGCTTATGGGAAAATTTTGATGGTGGATTTTATTTAAATAGAGTACTTCATTTGTCTCCTGAAACAACCGATGCCATTAGTATTTAGCATAGGAGAAAAGGAGTTCGGCTTTCGGGCACTTCAGTCATGGCATATAAGCACTATATATATATATATATATATATGATGAAAGGGAAAACTTAGGAAAGAATAGCTAAGGCGCCAATGAGGTTTTTATTTGAGAGAAAAAAGAAGCAAAAAATGGATTTTGAAGACAAAATAGAAAGTCACCGTGCCTATGTGGGTCATAGAAAAGATTTAAGGATATATCACAGACAACTACTTGAATCTCTGAAAAGATAAAGCTAAAAGCAATCTCTGGTATATATATATATATATATATGAAGACTACTTTAGTACTTACCACTTGTTTCAGATAAGGTAATGCTGAAAGGCCACTCTTTTGTTGTTGAATTTCAACAGATATCTCTTCTATTGTATCATGCAAAGACCTGAAACAGATCTGCATACATTCTGGCAGCCCTTCTACTTCATTTGGATCCCACCTAATTAAATGTGAAAAATCTCCTTTTTATGCATGATTATTACGTATGTACGTAGTAGTATTTAATTAATTTTAACTTGTATCAAATGTTGAGTTTGGGAGAACTTACGTCTCTATGGCACGAGTGAATTGCTGCACTTGGGCTAATGAACCATAAATATCATAAACATTATCTATTATTAGCACCAACTCAATCACTTTGGTGAGCCATATTCTCATGCTTCCATGTTGAGGCTCAGAGGCAACTCCTACAGCGTAAAAGAAGCTTTCTACTATCCGATCCCTTGTAAAGCTCAAATCTTCAACTATTGAAACATTCATCCACCATCTGTCAAATTCACAAGAAATTATTTTCGTATAAAAAACAAGAAGAAATTAAAGTGATTCTCATTTGACATGCATGTTTTAAGTACGTACCTTAATACGTGTTTGAGATCCTTTTGGTGCGTGGCTTGAATTATATTGAAGTTAAGTTTTGCCAACTTCAGCAACATTGGATTAGTGCCGTTGCATTCAAGTTCTTGAGCAGAGATGTGTGTTCTTACGGCATACCATTTCACTCTCCATGCCAATGGACAACTCAACCTATTTCTCAAATATTCCTTAGTAGTAAATGTGTAATCTGATTTAGATAGAAGACTCTTGAGATTTTTGGTTGTGAACAATCGTGTGTCGTCTAGTACGTTTTCACCTTCCACGCTCAGACATGATCCTTCCAAAAGCTCCAATAATGTTTTCACATCTGAGACTTTCAGCTTTCCTTTGCCATCGAAGAAGTCCTTTAACATATCTGTAGTACAAAAAAACAACAACTTGAAATTAAATTAGAAAGACATTATATTGCTTTTAGGCCTCAAAAATTAAGTCAAACTTATAATTATTTATACACTCACTCTCTCCCTATATGGGTTTTGCTAACCTACTACATGTTGTATACATATTTGACTTCTTAAAAATACCCTTAGTTTTTAATGATAACTTCATTGTTAAGATAGGCTTTTCAATTTTGCCATAAACAAACCTGACTCTCTTCAACCTTCTCCAATTTTGCCCTCGCTATTCTCTCTCGATCTAGCATCTCTATTCTCTTCAATTTTTTCTTTTCCTTTATTATCTTTGTAAAATTCAATCTTTGGTTTTTTATTTGGTACCTCTCTTCTACTTTTCTTCTTTGCAAGATTCAATTGATTTATGACCCCCCCCCCCCCTTCTCTTTGCTTTTTCTTCTTTCTCTTTATAAGATTCATTCTATAGCTTTCAACGTGGCATGTGAAAAGGAGTAATTGATTTTTCGACCATTTTGTGGTTTTCTTATTATTCATGATACTTCATAGCAAATTTAAATTGGCAATAGTTCAGAAAAAATAAGAAAGTTCCCAAACATATCGCTACCTATAGGCTACTATTAATTGTTGTTGAATAATTGACTTATGCTTTAGTTCATGAACAGAAAATAACAATCTGGGTCTAAGAGATGGTAGGGAAGAAGACAAGGAGAAGAGAGAATAGGGAGATGGGGAATCGAGGGAATAATTGTTTGGCTTAATATGTGAGATGACCAAAAAGCCTCCCATGCTAATGTGTTGGAATTAAAATCTAAGGGCATTTTTGAGAAGCCAAATATGTATATATATATATNTTATTCAGATGAAATAACTAAATTAATGTTTTATCTCTCTTTAATTAGCTATTTACCTCCTTTAGATTATGGATTTATTTTCCTGTATTTTACTTTCCAATTTCAACAATGTTTTCCTAAATTGGATATTTCTCTTTATCCTGTTTAATTTATTCTTAATTAGAAATTAAATCCTTTACCTCATTAATATATGATTTCTTTTCTAAATAAGTTTAACGTTTTTATTAAGATTATGCTTAGACCACTAATTTTATTGAGCCGCCTCTGTCCGCATAGTCCAAATCCTAGCTTTGCCACTGTTAATTAGATGATGGATAGACACATTATTAACTTATTGATAACCTTGTGAAGCATGGTGGCCATGTTCCCTGAGTAGCCTGAAGCACAATGCAATCGCATACAGATCCTCCTCCTTCGAGCTCGAATAATAACCACTGCTTTTCACGGACATTATTATCTTTTCTAAAGCTTCCTTGGTTTCAACCTCGAAGTAACAACTGAGTCCAAGTTTGTCAATGCTGTCTATAAGCTCTAGCAGGTCCAGGGGACAAATAGTGTTTGAAAACGTGCAACTGACTTTCTCTTTTAGCTTCTCAGCCTGAGCTTTATACTTCTCATCCTGCATGCAGGAGCGATTATTTATTACGAAATATTTCGAACACGAACATGCATTAATTGAGATAAAAGTAAATACTTACAGAATATTCACTTGTAAGAGTAAGTAGATGATCATATTTCCAAATGTTTGGTTTATAGGTAGAAATCTTCCTTTCAGGATGACTTTGTTTTTTAATAGTACTATGAAGTTTCTTAGTCTGCATAGTGGAAAAAAGGGACACAATGTTTCTGTAAGACGTGGTTTGGGATAGCATCATATTGTTGGAATAATAGAGGTGGTGAAGATACAAGAATAATTGTGGAGACCTTTCATAACTTCTAAGAGCTTATATAGGTAAAAATTAATGACTGATTGTTTTACTGTAACAGTTGGATTGAATCCTTCACACCGTTCTATTACCATTTGTTCAACATGTTCTCAAATCTAACTTTCGTACAAAGTGAACGAAACCCTTCGTCGTGAGTATTTTTTGTACTTAATTCTTGTTCGTCATCATCATCTTTTTCTTTCTTCTCATCTTTTCTAGCCTCATCTTTTCTAGCCGAAAGTATATTGGAAATAACATTTCTATCTTTACTACATAGGGGTACCTAGGTCTACGTACAGACCACTCTTTCCATACACCAGTGGCAAATCTAGAGTATTGTTACTGGGTTTTTTGGAACCCAATAACTTTTGCGTAGATGTTGTATTTTTATTAAAAAATTCACTAAATATTTATAAATATCTAACTGTGAACCTAGTTATTATTGTATATTAATTTTATTTTACGGTATCGGAAGTCATAAATTTAAATTTCTTAATCTGCCTCTGTGAGACAATATATATGAAAATATATTGAGTTAGTTGTTGTTGATAGTGAGCAGGGAAATCTTTTTGCAATGTCAGTGATGTATATAAGTAAAACAGAGAGAGATAGAGAGAATAAAAAGAACGAAACAAAAATAGAATTGGAGTCCATAATTTGAAAACACAACTTAAAATACAAAAAACGTTGTAAACGACGCAAGATGAGAAAATTATTGTGTGGAATGAGGACTTGGATGTGACGTTCAGTTCACCTTCTAGATTTAAAGATTCCTTAGGTCAAGTTTTACAAGTTTTTTTTTTTTTTTTTTTTTTTTTTTTTTTTTTTTTTTTTTTTTTTTTTTTTAAATAAAATAAAATTAGGCCATAAGGTGTTGCATTCCTTTCATTCCTTTAACAAGTTTGTCTTCTTCTTTTTTTAAATAAAGTTACGCCATAAGGTGACGCATTCCTTTGACAAGTTTGTCACGACTTGAGATATTAGAGTCAGCAATAAAGATCCTATTTATCATGGAAAAAGAAAAGAAAAGAAAGCATGTTATTATTTTTTTAGAAATGTTTAAGTTACATACTATAACAATTGTGCAAATATTATATTACTATATGTGATGACCTTTAAATTAAATTTTGTGTTTCCGAGGCCTTGAAAACCTCATTTAGCATCACCTCGATTTCGTGCGCGTCGGGACGCGTAGCCGGAAAGCTTATATGTGAAAATCTGTGAAAAATGATAAATTTTGACTATAAAATGAATAAATTTGACTTCGGGCAACGTTTTGGTAAACGTACATGGACCCGTAATTTGATGGTCCTAGAGGGTCCGTAGGAAAATATGGGACTTGGGCGTATGCCCGGAATCGAATTCCGAGGTCCCAAATCCGAGAAATGAATTTTTTAAAGATTTTTTTTTTTGAAATTGTTTAAAGGAATTTGAAATGAATTTCGATTAGAACATGTTGGTATCGGACTCGTATTTTGGTTCCGGCACCCGGTATAGGTCTTATATATGATTTCAGATGATTCTGTGGAGTTTGGTAAGAAACGGAATCCGTTCGACGTGATTCAGACTGTAAATGCAAAGTTTGATGCTTTAAGAAGATTTGAAATATTTCATTGATTTTGAGGTTTAATTCGTTGTTATTGAGGTTATTTGGGTGATTTGATCGCACGGATAAGTTCGTATGATGTTATTGAGTTAGTACATATGTTTGGTTTTGAGCCCCGAGGGCTCGAGTGTGTTTCGGAAGGTTTTTGAAACTCAAAAAGTTGCAAGTTTCTGTTGTTCAGTGCCCAGGGATTTTACTCTTCGCGTTCGCTTGGTCCCTCTCGCGAACGCGTAAGGCAAATTTCCCAGGTGCCAGATTTCTTCTTCGTGAACGCGAAGCTTGAGACGCGAATGCGAGGCCGAGGGGTGAATACCCTTCGCGAACGCATCCATGCACTCGCGAATGCGTAAGGTTAAGGCCTGGGGAGGGGTCACCATTTTGTGCATTGCGAACGCGGCCATTGGCCTGCGAACGTGTAGGCTTGAGGATCCAAAGCTCCACGAACGCGAGCCATCTTCCGCGAACGCGAAGGTCTGTAGACCTAACTCATCGCGAATGCGATAACCAATTTCGCCCAGTTATTTTAAGTTTCTAAAACAGAATGCCATACGAGATTTTTATTATTTTTCACAAACTTCATCTTCTCCACACCTGTTGGGCGATTTTTGAAGAAGAACTTCACCATAGTATATAATCCTAAGCTCGTTTTCTTCCATTTTTATCAACACCCACTAGATTTCTAGGCATAAAACATGTGATTAAGGGTAGAAAATTAGGGATTTAGGTAGAGTTAGGGCTTTTTGATTATTTGAGAATTTAACCTTGTTTTGGGGTCAGATTTCAAAATAAATTATATATTTGGACACGTGGGTGAATGGGTGATCGAGTTTTGGTCCGAACCTCGTGTTTTGACCAAGTGGGCCCGGGGTCGATTTTTTGGATTTTTGGGAAGAATGATTAGAAAGCTATAATTAAGTATTGGAATTGGAATGTTTAGAATTTATTGATGTTATTAAGTCGATTATGTCTACATACAATTGATTTGGAGTCGAATTCGAAAGGAAAGACGGTGTTTGAGGATTGAGTTGGCTATGGAAGTTCGAGGTAAGTGTTTGGTCTAACCTTAGCTTGAGGGATTAGGAGTTGTGTCCTATTTGATATTTGCTTCTTATTGAATACGACGTAAAGGCATGGTGACGAGTATCTATACGTTGGTGTCAAGCATGACCGTGGGTCTTATATTGTGATTTTCATGACTTCGTTGTATTATTCATGCCTTGGTGAAGATTTCTATTTGTTGTGTAAAGCTGTGGAAAGATATGTGACCTATGAACATTGAGGAGCGTTGGCTCCAGTTGTAAAGTGAATTGTGAAGTAAAATTGAGAAAGAGAAGAGATCATTATATTGCCCCCTTGCCGGGCTATTGTTGAGTTGTAGTTCCCTTGCATTATGTTCTTAATTGATATTACAGATGTTTAGGTTGATGATTCTTTGTGTTAGGTGTTGTAACAAGCTTACTTATAGCTGTTGCGACCAAAACACTCACGCAAGTGTACGTGATCGACAAGTAATATAGTAGTAAGTAGAG